GAACTACATAAGAATAAATAAATGAAATAAAGGTATTGTGTCCATATATAACTGAAAATATTTTTTTAATTTTTTAAAATATTTTATTTTTTAGTTGTAGAGGACACAATATATTTATTTTATTTTTTAATGTGGTGCTGAGGATCGAACCCAGGGCCTCGCATGTGCTAGGCGAGCGTTCTACCACTGAGCCACAACCCCAGCCCTGAAAATATTTTTTTTAAAAAGAATTCTACTGCTGCAACAAATAAAGGATTAGATAAAATTTATCTAATTGCAAGTCTTTCCAATGGGATATTGAAAAATTTGAGGCTAGCTTTGGGAAAAAAAAAATAGAAAGTTCAGTGGGAGAGTGCTTTGCTAACATGTGTGAAGCCCAGTGTTCAATTAGAAAAAGGAGAGAGAGAGAGAGAGAGAGAGAGAGAGAGAGAGACACTTGTATTAAAAAATCTAAATATATACCAGGCTATTAATGGTAGTTGTTTCAGGCAAAGGAGGAAGGATAGCAGTTAAGGAAATAAAACTACTGATTTTCAGCCTGGAGTAGTGGTGAACACCTATAATTTCAGTGACTCAGAAGGCTGAGGGAGAAGGATCATTGACTAATTTTAAGTTCTTTGGGTTTTGCTTTCTTGCTTCTGTACTGACATCCCTCATTGTTCTCACAATCTTTTTTCCACTGTGGAAATCACAATTGCATTCTAATTTTGCTTCCTGGGATTGCCACCAGAGTACCAAAATTGAAGCAGTGTGTGTTCTTATAGGCTTTAGTCATAGATTTCCAGATAATCTCTTGGTTACTCTCACAGGTACCAAGTGTTATTTTTATAATCTATAAAGTATAGTTTAATTATCTGAGGGTAAAACTGTTTCAACAGTAACTAACATAGATATAACTGCCTATTATGTTGGACAAATTCTAAATGCTGTACTTCATTTCACTTATGTGCCAGATATGTGTGTGATCCCATAACACCCTTGCCATCCCAACTCTGATTTGGGAATGTACTTGCCTATGGATCTAGAGTGAAGATGTGGAAGCTAAGGATAGCTGGAGCCCCCTCTTTCTTATTAACATTTTCTTGATCAATTCCTCTCTCTAACCATTTTTGAAAATATAGACTACAGGCTGTGAGCATTACTGAGAGGAGGAGGCTCCCTTCTGGGTCTTACATTTGGATAGGCAGAGAGTGAGGCAGGGGTGAGGCCAAGGGCTTATTCAGATGAAAATGATGGATAGAAACAAGGTGAAAGTTACATTCTCAGATACACACTCATGTGTATAGAATTTCTCCAGAGATAAGAAGGGCAACTGGAATACAGGGAGGAAAAAAAGAAACTGGGGAAGGCCAGAGAGAAAAGAAAAGGGCATATGGGGAAAAGCTTGGGCCCTTAGGTAAAATGAGTGAGGGGAGCCCAGCCACTGCAATGGGGCATGGGTAGCACATACCTGAGTCCAACATTGTTCATATCATCCCAAATTGAGGCTGGGGCTTCCCAGAATGCTTTATTGGTAGTCAGGATCGTCTAGAAGGCATAGGAAAGGTGATTGGTTGTATGATCTGAACGCAAGAAGGTATAAAAGGCTGGGTAACAGAAGGGACAATGGGGATGAAGACTCAGTGGTCAGAGGGGGAGGTAAGGAGTGCAGATCTGGATCAAGTTCAAAGGGTACCTGGACTCCAGCATAGGCATTGTTGACCAGCACATCCAGACGCCCATGCTGCTCCCGATCTACTTGCTCAAACAGGCTTTGCACTTCACTCTCTTGGCTTGAATCACATACCACAGGTACACACCGGCCCCCAAGGGATTGTGCCTAGAGAGGAACAGGGGATATGAGCTCATAGTTGCACAGTAATACAAGATATAACACAATTTCCCCAACTAAAATGGGTGGGGGGCAGGCTGGGGATATAGCTCAGTTGGTAGAGTGCTTGTCTCACATGCACAAGGCCCTGGGTTCAATCCCCAGCAAAAAGAAAGGAAGGAAGAAAGGAAGAAAGAAAGAAAGAAAAAGAAAAGAAAGAGGGTGGGGAAAGTGAAAAGATCAGTTCAGGCAACATGGTAGGCAATACTGCCCTCTGGTGTCTTTTTTTTTTTTTTTTTTTTTTGAGAGAGAGAGAGAATTTTTTAATATTTTTTTAGTTTTTGATGGACACAACATCTTTATTTTATTTTTATGTGGTGCTGAGGATCGAACCCAGCGCCCCACGCATGCCAGGCGAGCACTACCGCTGAGTCACATCCCCAGCCCCCTCTGGTGTCTTTTTGAAAAGCTTCAGGAACAGTGAGTCCTCTTTCAGTAGGGTAGATTGGGATCTCAGATTTTAAATTTACAAACGTTTACTACTATCATGCACAAGGTGTTATATTTTGCAAACCAAGGGTAAAAGACAAGACATGGAGTCTACTTCCAGAAACAAGTAGCTATCCTTTCCTGTCCTCGGTCATTTCCAACTCTCATGCCCTTAGCTCCATCCTTCAGTCCCAGCCCTCTTTCCCTCACTCCACCAGTGTTCTTGCTTGGTAATCAAAAAACTAAAGCTACCGGGAATTAACTATTTCAACTTCTTTCCTGTCTCACTCTTTACAAATGGGTCCCCTTTCTCCAGTTTCAGAGAAGAAGAAGAGTACCTTATTCAAGAACAACACTCTTTTCTACGGATCCATGCTCCAGCCCTACATTATTAGCCCATGGACTGAATTACTGTAGTGCTTCTAAATGCTCACTTGACATTCAATTTTTTTGCCTTAATTCTTTGGTGGGGTGTGCCTATAATCCCAGTGACTCGGGAGGTTGAGGCAGGAGTATTACAGGTTCAATGCCAGCCTCACCAACTTAATAAGACTGGCTCTATATAAATAAATAAATAGGCTGAGGATGTAGCTCAGCGGTAAAGTGCCCCTGGATTCAATACCCAGTACTTTAAAAAAAAAAAAAAAAAAAGTAACCCTTCACAATCAAGTCAGTATGAACTATCTAAAAAAGTATGAACTATCTGTTTGAAATCTTGTAGCTGGATCATCTCTTAGAGAATAAAGCCTAAGTTCTTCACCAGTTTTCTTTTCTCCAGTGCTAGGAAGCAAATTCAACATCTTGCTGTATCATTAGGCAACTTCTCTACCACTGGACACCTGCAGCCCTTTACCAGGGTATTCTAAGAGTCACTATTTCCCAGCTTTTCACCTACTACTCTTCCCTTGCATTACCTTACAACATTCATATTCTTTCACCATTTCCCTTCTGTTCCCACATAGCTCCCTCTGTTATAATGCTTTTTCTAACCTTCTTTATCTAATTCTTACCTTTCAAGATCCAGAATTTTTTTGGGTGTATGGTGCTGGGGATCGAACCCAGGGCCTTGTACATGCTAGGCAACTGTTTTACCACTAAGCTACATTCCCAATCCCTTAAAAAAAAATTTTTTTTGAGACAGGTCTTGCTAAAGTGCTCAGGTTGACCTAGAATTTTGGCTCCTCCTAACTCTGAAATAACTGGAATTACAGTCATGTGCCATCACACCCGGCTCAGAATGCTTTTCCCAACCACTCCTTTTATTATCTTCAAGCTCCCTTCACACCCTTACAGCATTCTGTGCATCTCTCTCTCTCTTAGTATTTACCATATTCCCTTTACATTGAAATGCCTGATTTCTGTGTCTGATTTCCTGTTGGACTCGAAATTATATTTTATTAATCTTAGTAACCCTAGTGACTTTCTCAGAGCCTAGCAAGTCATAGATACTCAAATATTTACTGAAATCCAGCAGAAATTTTAAGTGAAAATTTACAGTTCAGTAAAACCTGCCTTAGAGGAAAACACAGGTCCAAAGCCCTTTAGTTCCAATTCTCAAACCCCTCCAACTCTCAAACTCAAAAAGTTTTTCCATAAAACTTATTTGGTAGCAAAATTCAGTCTTACCTGAAGTTATTTATGCGGTTTATCTATTCTACTCTAAGTAAATATTCATGTTTTCTGAGGAATATTAGGGTGTCATGCCCCCGAGCTCCACCTGCAGCCCTTTACCAGGGTCTTCTAAGATCAGACAAAGGATCAGGAGGTGTGGTTAATTGGAAGGACTCCCTCAAGTGGTCACTCACCTCCTGAGCAGTGGCCCGAAGGGTGTCCATATGGCGGCCAGTAATGTAAACTGTGGCACCTGCTCGGCAGAGCTGCAAGGCAATGCCACGGCCAATACCCCTGGAGGCACCAGTCACCACACACACTTGGCCCTTCATGGGAGTTACCATAACTCACAGGCAAAGAAGGATATCTGTGGAAGCAAAAAGTTACCTTGCGGGGAAATCTACAGACTGTGTGTGTGTATGTGGGTGGCGGGCGGAGGTGGGGGGGGCGAGTTCCTGCAAGGGATAGGAAGAAGAGTCAAGGTTGGAATCCTTTGATGCGAGAAAAGCTTCAGTTTCAGGACAAGTAGGTGCGGGCCCCAGGCCAGTCTGACTGTTCTTTTGCGGGGCTCAGGAAGTGAAGAAAGGGCTGGATGGCGTCCCCCTATGAATGGGGCTAACTAAGTGGGAGAATTTGCAGAGGCGATTCCTCGAGGTGTGTCTCGGGCAACCTACGGCTCTGGCCACCGGACTGGACGGCGCAGCCAGCAGTGAACGCAGAGGCCCCGAGATCCTGAGCCTTCAGCGGGAAGAGCTTGTGCGCTTTACCTGCAGCCGGTGTTGCCTCTGGGATTCTCGTTCAGTCTAATTCTCCAGACCTTTAATATATTTCAGCTCTAGAATGTTGATTCTGAACACAGGGCGGGACGAGGTTACTTCTTCAGGGTCAGAGTGCGGAAGCGGGGTGAAGTCCTGGTGCTGACTGGAGTTGGGCTGACAACGTGGAGCGGCGGTTCAAGGATCGCGCGGGTCAGCAGCATTGCGGCCGATTCTAAAGTAGGACCGAGGGGGCGGGGTCCTGGGCGGGAGTTAAGACCCACCGGTGATGGGCGGGAGACTTGGGCACACCCACCGCGCCCAGGGAGGGCCGTCGCGGAGCTATGACGCAGCACGTTGCGCCAGGAGCGTGCTGGCGCTCCTCAGCTTGGTCAAGAGTGGGCCCGCACCTGGTGGCCTGAGATTCTTTCTGCAGCTAAGGAAGATTTCCCAGACCGAGAGGCCCCTAAACACATATGGGACTGGGTCCGCGCTCCCCCCACAAGGCGGGGCGCCAGTTCCCAATTGGCGGCAAACGGGGACGCGGAGCAAAAGGGTCGGGGCGGCCCCCACGAGGCCGCGAGCAGCATCCCCGGCCGCCTGCAGACAGGGGATCAGAACGGACTCAAGATGCTCACCCGCACCTGAGCCCCGAAACTTTGGGGTATTTCCGACAAGCGCTGTCAGCGCTGAAAGAGGCTCCAGAAGCCGGGGAAGAACGAGGTAGGGAACAACTAAAGGGTGGGACCAAGAGCGCAAGATCCAGGACAGGCATGGAAACTTCCTGGGGTCCCCGTGTGGGCACTTAGTTTTCTCTCTCATGCCTTCTTCCTCTGCCCTCATTCTCCGCCTCTTGGTTAAGTGATGGACCTTATGCTTTTCTCAGTGTTTAAAATATTTCTGTCTTCATTTTTTTTTTCCAGAGCTGATGGTGCACAATGTTTTGAAAGAGGTGGAGGCTCAGGCTCTAGCCTTGGCTACGAACAGGACTGGCAGTGAGATGCTGCAGGAACTTTTGGGGTTTAGTCCTTTGAAACCGTTGTGTAGAATATGGGCTGCCCTGCGCTCCAACTTGCGCTTTGTGGCCTGTCATCGGTGCGGGGTCCATGTACTGCAAAGTACTTTGCTGCAGCTGCCTCGATTGCTGAGGAATACTGCAGAGGAGGAGGAGAAGGAGGAGGAGGAGGAGGAGGAGAATGGGAAAGATGGTTCCTTGGAGACCCTGGAGGAGCTGGTCCTGGGACTAGCCTCTGAGGTTTGTGATGATTTTCTTTTCTACTGCGGAGACACACATGGAAGCTTCTTGGTCAGAACTCTGCTGCAGGTGTTAGGAGGGACTCTTCTGGAGTCTGAGAGAGCCAGGCCTGGTGGCTCCAAATCTTCTGGTAAGTATTAAAAAAAAGGGACAAGGATCTGGTGGGAAGGAGAGTTTAGAAGAAGAGAGTAAGCAGAAGAGTAAGTCTTTTTGGAGGAAACTTAATCCTACAGAATTAGCAGAGCAATTGGGGCAGAGCTTAGAAGGCCAAGGATTAGCGTGTATATTACTAGTCAAACTGTGGAACCAGCTTAGATGTCCATCAGTAGATGAATGAATAAAGAAAATAGGGTATATGTATGCAGTGGAGTTTTATTCATCCATAAAGAAAAATGAAATTACATCTTTTGTAGGAAAACAGACTAGAGACCATAATGTTAAGTAAAATAAGTCAAACTGAGAAGGTCAAGGGTCATATGTTTTCACTCATATGTGGAAGCTAGAGAGGAAAAAGGAAAAGAAAGGTGGGGGCAGATCTTGTGAAAATCAAAGAGAAATAAGTAGAGGAAAGATACCAAGGGTCAGACAGGGGAAGTGCTGGGGAGTGATATTGGTCAAATTATATTGTTATATTGTGTACAAGTGTGAATATGTAACAACATTCAACTATAATGTACCAATTAAAAATGTGGAAATAGAGGCCTAGAGATAATCATGTGCAAATATGATTAGGGGACAGCTGTTGTCATGGGAGCAGGAGAGGGAGGTGATTTGTATGGAGCAAAGGATTTCAAACTTTGTTTTCTTTCTTTTTTTTTTAATATTTATTTTTTAGTTGTAGTTGTTTTACTTATTTATTTTTATGTGGTGCTGAGGATCGAACCCAGGGGAAGCGAGCGCTCTACCTCTAAGCCACAACCCAGCCCCCAAACTTTGTTTTCTTTTTACCATAACCCACAAGAAGTTTTTTTGTAAGCATGACTTTAGCTTATGTGTGTGTACACATATAAGAATCAAGTAAAAGTATGGGAAACAATACCTTTGCTATATGCAACCTACTCTGATATTTTCTTTCCTTTTTAATTTTATTCTGCTCTCATTTCATTTAAAAAATACTAGTTGAGATTAATTTGATTTCATTATACAGTTACAGGCTGAGACTTACATTTTTGAAAAAGTCTGGGAAGTAAGGTTATTAAAGAGTTTAAATAAGGCCTGATTTTGGGATACCTTAAATACCTGTCTGGGGAGTTTGAACTACCTCCTATGGACTATAGGGGAGCAGATTGAAGTTTCTTAGAAAAATTAAAACAGAACTATCATCTCAGTTCAGTTATCCAGAAAAGATATTTAGTTGTATGACATCTCTTCTGTATTGTCAAACTGAATTCTTGTTCATGTATGGAATTTTTCTCCCTCCTGGATGTCAGTTTGTAATTTCACCATTGCATGTGTTTTTGATATTCATTCAGAAACCCAAAGGGTCATAGCTCGGGAATGTAAGCCAACTGATTTTGAGGTCCCTGAAGCCTTCTTGAATTGCCTTCAGAATCTGAGCTCCTGCTTTTTGAAGGACATTGCTGGTAAGGAGGAAAGTAGGAAGAGGGCCTAGGATCTAATTTTATGGAGGTGACTACCAGAAGCCCTTAGGTCAGGTCATTCTTCCTTTTTCCTTCTCTTTCCCTTTCCTTTCTCCTCCTTCCCTCTTCCTTTCTGTTTTTTGTTTTTGTTTTTGTTTTTTTTTTTTTAAGTTCATCTCTTAAAACTTAAATCTGGTTTGATGTTGCAGAGTAACTCTATATGGATGTTTTGTGTCTATAGTCCCCTTACTTTGTTGTTTAAGGTTTGAGGTTGGACAAGTGGTTTGAATTTTGGATAAGCTGTTTAATCATTTCTGACCTCTCAACAGTGTTTATCACTGACAAGATCTCCAGCTTCTGCCTTCAAGTGGCCTTACAAGTCTTACACCGCAAACTGCCCCAGTTTTGTGCCTATTTGTGCAATGCTGTGATTGGCTACCTGAGTACTCGTAGTTCCTCAGCAGCTGGCAGGTATGATCAAAATTCATGGGACTATGTAAAATGAATGAGGTGATGTGCTACAACTGCATTTTGGATGAAGTGGAGTTAAGATGCCCAATTCCTGGGCTAGGGTTATAGCTTAGTGGTGGAGCACTTGCCTAGCATGTGTGAGGCATTGGGTTCGATTCTCAGCAGCATATATAAATAAATAAAGGTCCATTAACAACTATAAGAATATTTAAAAAAACAAAAGATTGCCTGATTCCCTTCTCCTTGTCCCTAGCCCCCTATTGCTATTTCTTCGGGATCAAACTAGCTCCAGACTCCTGGAACAGGTGCTGTTGGTGTTGGAGCCTCCGAGGCTCCAGAGCCTCTTTGAGGATCACTTCCAGGGACAGCTGCAGATCTTGGCTGCACATCCCATTGCTAACTTCCCTTTGCAGCGCTTTCTGGATTCAATCAGTACCCCTGAGCTGGTGAGTTTGAAAGTCTGCACTGGGTATCTTTCTGCTATTGTTGTTCATTGGGCCTAATTTTATTGTATGCCTGTCTCTATATATCTCTGACAATGTGTTGTCCATTACCCTTATAAAGTTATTCCTTGGGGTTTTTCAAGATGGAGGTACCCTCCTCCCAGAGAGGATTTGTTTTAGCTTTTCAGGTGTAAGTACCATCAAGAAACTGGCTTAATTTAGGTTTGCAGCTTGAAGATCCATGGCTCCCTCAGACTCTGAGTACTTGACCACAAATCCCATAAACACTGACTGGGGTCTTTGCCATAACTTCTCTTTTCTTTTGCTTCTTAGCAGCAGGATGGGCTTCTCTGTGGTCTCATGGTTTAGGAGGTGTTGAAAAGGGGCAGGCTTATTTCTAGTTTTCCCTTACCTCTAATTCTCCCCTATACATAGCGGCCATTTAAAGTTCCTTCCCTGTGTGAGGTGGTACCTCTAAGACTGCCCAAATACTCCGGGTTTTTCTCAACCAAACCAAAGTCTCAACATTGTTAGTGCTTTTTATGTTTTATTTAGCATTTTTAGTTGTTTTCAGCTGGAAAATTCCTCTGAATAATGTAGTCCACCATTAGCAGAATGCCAAAGATTGATCATCCCATGTTTCCCCTCAGCTGTCTCCTGTGTTTGAGGAACTGAGTCCTGCCTTGGAAGCTGTACTGGCCCAGGGCCACCCAGGGGTAGTCATTGCCCTGGTGGGGGCCTGCCGCAGAGTTGGAGCTTACCAAGCCCAGGTCTTGCAGCTATTGTTGGAGGTGAGTAGGTGTTATTTGCAAACCATTATTGCCCTTGGTCTAAATTACACCAGTTAGGACTTAAGGCATTGTACCTCTGGACCAAGAGGTCTGATGCTAAGCCCTGGAGTGAAAATTCTCTCCCAGAACTGAAAGAGAAGTTTATTTAAGGGACAAGTGTTTATTCAACCCTTGTGTTAATGTGTGGAGGAAGGCTGGGGATACATTAAGGTAGATGGGATCCTACCCTCACGGAGCTTACTTTCTTATAGAGTTAGGCCTTCTCACCTTTTCTGAATGTCTTTTCTGTCTAGAAAGTCAAGATTAAGGATGGGGTAGTTCTCAGAGTTGTCATGTATTGTCTTCCCCTCTAGGCATTCCACTGTGCAGAGCCCTCATCCCGGCAAGTGGCCTGTGTGCCTCTCTTTGCCACTTTGACGGCTTATGAGGTGTACTATGAACTAACGGAAGAGGAGGGGGTAGTGCCTGCAGAGCACCAGGTGAGGTAGGGGAAAGGCCAAGTTACTGACTAATTGGGGACCAGCTCTCCAGGACTTAAGAAGCCCCTTGGGTGAGGATAGTGAGCCTTCTGACTTCATCCAATTGAAGGTGGCAGCACCTGGGGATGAACCCATCCACCTCGTTTTGTGCTGCCTCCTAATTTCCTATCTCTGTGCTCCCAGGTAGAAATAGCCACAGCCAGGACCCTGGGAGAAGTGACAGTGCTTGGGTCTCTACTGCTTCAGCATCTGCTGCACTTCTCTGCTCCTGGTCTTATACTACGAAGTCTGGGTTCCTTGACAGGACCACAACTTTTGGCTCTGGCCCAAAGCCCTGCTGGCTCTCACATACTTGATGCCATTCTGTCCAGCCCCTCTGTGACACACAAACAGCGCCGCCGTGTGCTGCAGGCCCTCAAGGTGAGATTTCTGGCTTTTGCTTGATTTCCCCCCATCATCCATTTAGAGAAAGTGTGTTTTCCCCAGGACTCTACCTTCAGAGTCAAAGATAGGAGACTAGAACTAAATTGTTTTGACTTTTGACTCAGCCTCTCAACTCTTCTGAAACTTTATCTCCAGCCCCTGCTGACACACAGAAGACATTTTGTGCACTTCTCTAGTAGAACTTGTCTTGCTTGCCTCAATGTAGGGACAATACGTGTCTCTGGCCTGTAGTCGCCATGGCAGCCGTGTCCTAGATGCCATCTGGAATGGAGCAGCTTTGAGGACCCGAAAGGAAATTGCTGCTGAACTGGGTGAGTTACCAATGCTTGTCTTCAGTGTTTCCTAACTTTCCCTTCTGTTATGGCAGAATGCTGGGTGACTGGGAGTGGGCTTAAATTCAGCAGAAAATTGAGTTCCAAAGGGTGATCTTGGTCATAGATTCTTAGCAGTCTGCTCTCAGTTTCTCCTCTGCTGACTGACTGTGCAGTCCTCTGCTTCCACCCGTCCTTCTGGCTTCTGTTCTTTGCAGAGTGAGGCATTCACTCTGTCTCAGTGACAGGCCCATTATTGGGGAAAAAATGGAGGGGCTTTTACCCGAAGAAGAACCTGTCTTTGAGCATGAATGGTACTAAACATGAGTGGTTCCCTTTGCAGGTGAGCAGAACCAGGAGCTGATAAGAGACCCTTTTGGCCACCATGTGGCTCGGAATGTGGCCCTGACTACCTTCCTGAAGCGGCGAGAAGCTTGGGAACAGCAGCAGAGTGCAATGGCCAAGCGAAGGCGGGCATTGAACTCAGTACTTGAAGACTGAGGCCTTGGAGTCTGGAACTGGGTGTTAATGGGGAGGGTGAAAGGAGTACCTACTGTCTCCCTTTCCTGGTTTAACTTGGAGTCAAAAGTCTTCTTGGTAAACATTTTTATATTTTTACTGGAAATATTTTTGTTATTTTTTTTTAAAGGAAAGTTAGAGATTTCAAGTAAAATAAGAGAAGGCTTTCATCAGTGTGCTAGAGCTTAGGGAGTCAGTAAGTATCTCAGTGTAGCAGCAATCAGGTTGAGATCAAGATGCCTGGGGACAGGCTTGTGGCCTTTAGGGTAAGTGGGAGACTGGAAATGTGGGTAGAGCAGGGCAGCATTCTTCAGGAAAGGATATAAGCTAAAAGAACAAGATGTTAGAACAGCTCATGAGTTTTGTCTTGATATAGGGGTGGAGGATAGTGGGGAAAGCAGGTGAGTTGTCCAGGTTACACTGTCCATAGGGCCTGAAACCTGATGCTGTTGTAGTCTTTTCAGCATTGTCTCATGAAACAAGTCTGGGGGCAGAAGTGCAGAGTACCTTCTCAGTAATGGAGACGACCCTGCCGCTGCCACTGCTCTGTTCCCTCCACTACATGGCGAAGGGTGGAGGAAATTCCCAGGAGCACATGGCCCAGGCCTTGCAGCAGTGAGGAGATCCAACGAAGGAGCTCCCTAAATGGCAGAGATAAGAGAAAATCAAATGATTGGGGAACATGAGAGTTGGTTCTTGAGCTGGCAGCTGGGGTTTTTTTTAACAAAGGAGAGTTATTTGGGGATAAGAGAGTATAGGAGATGGAATTATGGAGACTATCCGATGGTAGGGGATGGGGTAGTATGACATATTGATCTCTAACCTGAGTACTTTTTTGGGGCCAACTCCTTGAAAGTCACAGCTCATGGAGTAGAGCCCGTAGAATGTGGCTTTGACATTCAGGCTGCCAAAGAGGTCTCGAGGATTTTGCTTGTACACGTCAAAGGTAATGCGGGCGATATCTTTGCTGTGCTTCGGCTTCTCCCGGCCCAGGCCATATGACAGCACCCCACTCTGTAGGATATCCTCATTAGTGCAGTGGATACTGACACCCCCATCAGCATTGGGTCATACCCACCCTCTCTTGGGCTTCTGTCCACTATGTCCTAGGTAACTCCACATCTCACTCTGTGCCTTTGTCCCTAATATCAGGGTTAGGCTAAAGAAGGAGCTTTGGAAAACTACAAAGGATTGTTGGCCTGAACAGTGCAAGTATGGTCCTCTTACCCTGGTGGGGCTCCAGCTCTGTCCCAACTCCAGCACCATCAGGCATGTGTCATCCTCCAGCATCTGGAAGAAGTCCTCACTCTCCACAGACGTCCCATCCTCTTCTAGTACCAGTGTTAATGCTCCATGCAGCAGCAGGGTCTTTAGTGCCTATTCAGTGGCAAGAAGCAGGAGGAGCAGGTGTTATACTATGCCCCTCCCCTCTAGTTGCCCAATATCGATCTGTTGTCCCTAGGCAATGGTCAATATCCAAGTCTACTCTCCGGTGCTTGCTATCCCTGATAATGGCAGCAGCTCTCGATATACTTCAGTTGTTAGGGGACCCTCATTAGGGGCTGACCTTTTTCCTTTTTAAAAAATTTTTGTGTTGCTGAGGGTCCAGGGTCTCCATATGTTAGGCAAGTGCTGTGCTTCTAGACTGAACCCTTAGCCCCCTTTTTTCCTTTTTGCTCTGTCGTTGTCACCACTTCCTGCTTCCCTCCCTCTAAGTCATTCCTACTGGTTTAGAATAAAAACTTTGGCCAGGGGCTGGGCAGTAGCTCATGCTTATCCCAGCTACTTGTGAGACTGAGGTAGAATTGCTTGAGCCCAGGAGTCTGATATCAGCCTTGGCACAGAACAAGACCTCACCTCAGCTCAAAAAAAATCTAGCTAGATTCTCTTGAAATCCATCTTTCTGTCTTGTCTACAAGGTCTCACCTCCCTCTTCCCCCAACCTCAGTGTTTTCCACATCATTTTTCAGTAATAATGATGGCAAGAAGCAGGAGGAGCAGATGTTATAGATAACGTGTGCCACATATCTATGAAGACATTACATACTTCTTTTATTCTTTTCAACAACCCTAGGAAGTGGTTTATTATTGTTTCCTTTGTACAGATGAAGAAACAGGTTTTGATTTGATAGGTCACATAACCTCCCAAGATTTTTTTTTTTAAAGAGAGAGAATTTTTAAATATTTTTTAGTTTTTGGTGGACACAACATCTTTATTTTATTTTTATGTGGTGCTGAGGATCGAACCCAGCGCCCTGCGCATGCCAGGCGAGCACATTACCACTTGAGCCACATCCACACCCACCTCCCAAGATTTGGACAGCAAGGAAGGGGTAAAATCAGAATTTGAATTTGGTTTTTCATACATATCACCATTTCATACTGACTTCTGAATTCCATCCTCCAGCCCTCCCTATACACTGTTTCCCTTATTCCCAGAGAAAAGCCCACAACTTGGAAAATAAACAAATTTACCCAAATTCAACCAAAGTTATTTGGGTCACACCTCCGCCCCCATTGACTTTTAGCCCTTGGAGGGACAGCTATGTGACCTTAGCCCTTTCTACTCTATCATCTCAAGTTGTCACTATTGAGTCCCTTGGCTGCCCCTGTTATAGGAACCTAGGAACCTGGCTCACTCACCTTATCTAGCAGTTCCTGGCGGGTGGCAGCTGTCAGACCTTTCCTAATTGTCCGCTTATGGTCACAGACACGGAAGGGTCTCTGAGGCGGTGGGGCTGAAGTCCATACCCTTCGGCCAAGCTCAGAGCTCATATTGGATACAGCCCTGGTTGTAAAGTTGGGAAGAAGGGTGGGATGACTGAAGAGCCAAAGAGGGAGGGTCCTAGGTTTGCAGATCAGCTAAGGGAGAGGCATTGGAATGGGTCTAGTAGTTCAGGAACTGGACAAATGTGTAAAGTAGGGGGAGGAGGGGAAGTGAGTCTCTTAGGGGCTGAATGGAGTTTTGTTCCCCACCTAACCATATCCCCAGAGTTAGAGGTTAGAGAGGAGAGTTAGTAATCACCTGAGCAGGCCATTGGGGTTCAGGGATGAGAAGTACTCCATGGTAGAGGGAAGTAGGAGAGTTGCCTTCCTGGGGCCTCTGGATTGGACGCTGCACTGTGGTGCTGGGGCTGAAGTGACGTTTTCTCTTACAAAGCTGGATTCTCAGTCCTGAAGAGGTGGGGAATGAGTCAAGCCCAGCTCTGGCCCCGCTCCCTGGCCAGTACGAAGGACAAAGTCCAAGGGGAGAGAAGGAGGAGGGACCTAGATAAGGTGGTAGAAGTTGGACTGCCAGCAAAAGGCTCTGAGACATGCGCGTGTGCGCAGGTGCCCATGCGTGTGCATGTGCACATCTGTGTGTGCTGAGGGCCCTTGTGAGGGTAAAAAGGATGGAATGTGACCTCTGGTGTTTTATTTCTTTGGAGGGAATTTCTAGGAATAGTTCCTGGCTCCCAGCTGCTGAGAAGCTGTATTGTATGTGAGGTGCACTATTCTGTGCTGCCACCTACAGGAAAAGCCATGGGCTGTAGCTTCCTGGAAAGATTGGGCAGAAGGTGAGGAAATGGGTTTAGGGTGGGGAAATGGGGTGGGAAACAGACTTGGGCAAGGCTTGGATAAAATGAGAGGTGAGGCAAGTGTTTGGAAGTGGTTTGAGGAAAGGATGGATCCTGATCCGTGGATCCAGGATCACCAGATCACCAGATCTTGTCTGGGACCCTCTCCTTTCTGTTGACCTGCTCTTTCCTGGGTAGGAGAGGGGCTGGCTCATTCTCCAGAACTGTTGCTTCAGTAGTGACCTTTGTTCCCACCTTTTTCCTTTCACCAAGTAATGGGCATGAAGGAGATGTGAATGGGGCAGGAGGTGTCCTTTGATGGTATCAGGACTTCAGCTTTATCCATCTCTGATTTCAGTTGCAGTGTGATGAACATTGTATGGAAGCTTAGACTGAAACTGGAGTTAACACCTCAAATGACCACAATTCCTCCTCTCCTGCCTTGGAAGGAACCTTATAGGGTACCCCAGATCCTCCAACTTTTTTTTTTTTCCCCTGAGAAACATGGAGTTCCTTCACTACTCAGGGACCCAGCCAGTTGCATTTCTTAGGCAGGCTCAAGGCTTTGGCAAGATACTGATAAAGGTGTTTAGATTGTTGCCTGAAAGAAACTAGCCTCAGCCCTGAACCAAATTCCTTAAACCCTCTCATGAACTCTGTACCCTGATGCCCTTACTGTGGGGATAAGTGGAACATCTTTTACTCTCCCTTTCATAAAGATATACTGCAGCCTGCTCTGTAAATACTTGGGACCAGTCACCTGGAGTTGAGTGTTTCTTTGGATTCCCAACTAGCCCCATGTTGGGATGATTGGGATACCTTGTGGGAACTCTCTTGCCACTTTTGGGGTGACTTTAGCCCAGATGGAAGAATCCTTGTCAGAAGTTGTTAGCTTACTCAAACCCTTACAAGCACAGGGGCACTTATAGTGGCATTAATGCTTCAGGACAGTCTTCCAACAGTGGACACACCTTGGTCTCCTGTTCTGGGCATTCTGTACATTTCCCAGAGGTAGGCCCAGTGCCTACCAAAGGAATGTAATGCCATGCCATGCTCTTAAGGGTTTCTTCTTTCGTACCTATTTTGGTGGTGGGGGGGGGGTACTGAGGATTGAACCCAGGGGTGCTTAATCACTGATCCACATCCCCAACCCTTTTTATTTTTTATTTTGAGGCAGGGTTTCAACTTAGCTTCAACAAGTTAAGTTGATGAGGCTGGCCTCAAACTTGAAAACCTCCTGCCTTGGTCTCCTGAGTCACTGGGATCACAGGTGTGCACCATCACACCCAGCTTCTCTATGTTTTATCCTGCTTCCTCCCCTCTGCTTCCTGAATCAACCTTTCAAATACAGGATTACCTATACCCACGCCCTTATCTCAGGCTCTGCTGTTGAGGAACTCAAACTAAGACAATGCTTTTGGTGTCCTTGTTCCCAGAGAACTCCAGTTTGGGCTGTTGACTGGGCAGAGGACTTTCTTTTCCCCCTCCCTCCGCTCTATTGATCTGCTGGGCCCTGTTGCTCCCCCACTCCCTGCCAATCTCTTAATTTCCAATCTTTGCCTGACCTCTCCCAGCAGAGAGAACTTCTTTTCAATATGTCTCTACACAAACTGCACCCTTTCCTTTCTTCTTATATCCTTGTAAAGATTGGTAGTGTGATCTTGTGGTTGTGAGGTTATAAGCAAGCCCCTTATGTTAGTCAGCTTTTCATCACTGTGACCGAAGTACCTGACAGGAACAACTTAGAGAAAGAAAAGTTTATTTTGGTTCACAGTTTCAGAGGTCTCAGTCCATTGTTAGCTGCCTCCATTGCTCTGGACCTGAAGTAAGACAGAACATCATGGTGGAAGGGCCTGATGGAAAAAAGCTATGCAGCCTGTGAGAACCAACCAGCCAGAAAGGAGGGGAGAGAGAGAGAGAGAGAGGGAGGGAGGGAGAGGGGGAGGGAGGGAGGGAGGGAGGGGGGAGGGGGAGAGAGAGAAGAGGAAGAGGGGAGAGGAGGCCAGGGACAGTGATAGTCCAAGGCCATGCCCAAGTGATCTACTTCCTCCAACAATGTCCAGCCTCCCAGTAGTCCATTCAGCTATCAGTGGATTAATCCAGCAAATAGATTTATATAAGGTCAGAACCCTAGTCATTGCTTAAAAGTTCCATCTCTAAATCTTTCTGTAATGGGGGCCATACCTCCATGAGCTTTTGGGGACATTCCAGATCCAAACCACAACACCCCTTAAACCTCCATGCATTTCTGTCTCCTCCTCAACAGACCTAGCACCATTCCTTACACTGAAAAGTTGTCATTGACAACCCAGCCAAAGTCCAGAGGGTGGAGCGAAACTCCCAAAACCAGAGATGGTTGGGGGTGGACTGGGAGCTGAGGAAAAAGGGAACTCAGCAGGGTTGGGAGGCTGAAAACAGGCCAAGTGAGAGCAGCTGAGAAACTGAGTTGTGTGGGTCACCTCTGCTGAATACATGCCAAGGAGGCCAGGAAGCATAAGCACTGCAGAAGTCATGCTGGAAGGATCGGCGGGCAGAAATGAAGAAGGGACAAGAACAAAAGCAGGGGCTGGAGTTGTGGCTCAGTGACAGAGCACTTGCCTCGCATATGTGAAGCACTGGGTTTGATCCTCAGTGTTAGGTCAGTTGAAGTGGCTAAGGGAACAAACAGCCAACAACCAATCAGGTGCCAACAGACAAGTAGTGATAATCACTTGTCAATCAGTGGGGTCTCCTGACTGATCCTGGAAGGACATGGAATTCAGCAAGATCTCCAGACCAACCCCAGGAGAACAAGCCCTTTCCAGTCCCAAGCTCTCCCTTCCTGCCCCAAGCCTGATAAAATTACAATCCAGCTGAGCCTGGGTGCAACTCCACCGGACCACTCTGTTGTACTGGAGGGTCTTGCCCAGAGCGAATCTCAATAAAGCCTTGTTCAGCAGTTTTTAGTCTGCCTCCTTTTCTTCACTGGTGCCTGACCTTACACTCAGAATCACATAAAATAAGTAAACAAAATAAAGATATTGTGTCCATGTATTAAAAAGAAAAAAAGCAGGGTTCAGGGTCAAGTATCAACTGAGTGTTTCTGCACCCTCAGCTTCATCCTGTTTCCTAGGGAGGCAGGCTCCCACACGTCTGGACCTGTTAGTGATGGGAAAGAATGGGGTGAGGGAGGGGCCCCAGGAAAAGGCCAGGATGAGCCTCATCTTGTCCCTCCCCATTCTTGCCTCACCCTCTGCAAATGTGATAGACATTGGCACCTGATGCGCTGCTGCCTCACCTTTCAGTTTCCCCAGGCCTCTGAAGGCCCCCAGCCCTACCTGCTCCTAGCTGGGTAAGTAGATCTGCCCATGTCCTTTTTCTCCACACTGCCCACTTTTAAGGGGCGGAGATGGTAGTAGTGACAGCCTAAATTTAGGACAGCCTAAAGTTAGGAATGGGGGCCTGAGTAAATTTAGGACAGCCTAAAGTTAGGACTTCTGGGCTCTGGGAGGTGCCAGGAGTGAAGGCCACCTGACCTGAAGCAGAGGATCTAGGTTCTAAGAAGGAGTGGTATTTGAATTGGGGGTCAGGATCCTCCATGTCAAGATTCCCAGAGAGAAGAAGGACAGGCTGCAGGGAAGTGGAGGGAAGCACAGTTCCTTCTCACCTAGCATCGGAGGCAATGTGGACTTATGCCCCACTTCTGAATGCCCTCTGTGGCCTCTTCCAGCCCCGCAGGAGAAGAAGGATGTCAGTCTGCTACCGGCCCCCTGGAAATGAGACACTGCTGAGCTGGAAGGCCTCACGGACCACTGGAACGGCCTTTCTATTGCTGGCGGCGCTGCTGGGGCTGCCCGGTAATGGCTTCGTAGTGTGGAGTCTGGCTGGCTGGCGGCCCGCACGTGGGCGACCACTGGCGGCCACGCTAGTACTGCACCTGGCGCTGGCCGATGGCTCGGTCCTGCTACTCACACCGCTCTTCGTAGCCTTTCTGACCGGGCAAGCCTGGCCGCTGGGCCAGGCGGGCTGCAAGGCTGTGTACTACGTGTGCGCCCTCAGCATGTACGCCAGTGTGCTGCTCACCGGCCTGCTCAGCCTGCAGCGTTGCCTCGCCGTCACCCGCCCCTTCCTGGCGCCCCGGTTGCGCAGCCCGGCTCTGGCCCGTCGCCTACTGCTGGCAGTCTGGCTGGCCGCCTTGTTGCTTGCTGTCCCGGCCGCTGTCTACCGCCATCTCTGGGGGGACCGCGTTTGTCAGCTGTGCCACCCGTCGCCCGCCCACGCCGCCGCCCACCTGAGCCTGGAGACTCTGACCGCCTTTGTGCTTCCTTTTGGGCTAGTGCTTGGCTGTTACAGCGTGACGCTGGCGCGGTTGAGGGGCGCCCGCTGGGGGTCTGGGAAGCAGGGGTCGAGGGTGGGCCGGCTGGTGAGCGCCATCGTGCTCGCCTTCGGCTTGCTCTGGGCTCCCTACCACGCAGTCAACCTACTGCAAGTGGTGGCAGCACTCGCTCCACCAGAAGGTGCCTTGGCGAGGCTCGGCGGCGCAGGCCAGGCAGCGCGGGCTGGAACGACAGCCTTGGCCTTCTTCAGCTCTAGCGTCAACCCAGTGCTCTACGTCTTCACCGCTGGGGATCTGCTGCCTCGGGCGGGTCCCCGGTTCCTCACACGGCTCTTCGAGGGCTCTGGAGAAGCCCGAGGGGGAAGCCGCTCTAGGGAGGGTACCATGGAGCTACGAACTACTCCCCGGCTACAAGTAGTGGGGCCTGGAAAGGGCAATGGAGACCCAGGGGGTGGGGTGAAGAGGGGCAGTCAGGAATGGGATCCTTGACACCAAACCCTACAACCATGTCTGCTTTTCCCCTACCACTTTTCATCTTCCCTGAAACTCACTCCTCTGAGGCATTTGGGGACCCTTTTCCAACTAATTTGGATCTGGCTGGGTAGGATTATTACATACCTGGGGCAGGTCCAGATTCCTCAAAACGGAGGGACTTTGAGGATAGTGATGTCCCTTATTAAAAAATGCTGTGTGCTTGCAAGTTGGCATATACCCATGTGCCAGCATTGCTTACTTGTTGCCAGTGACTTTATTGTGAAATACATTGGGAAGTCATTAGATGATGACTTAAGTGAGTTTCCCCTTTGGTGGTTAATCCTGTGTGAGTTGTACTAAAGCCACATAATTCCCAGGTAGATCAACCTTGCCAGGGCTGGAAGTATCAGCCTTCAGTGGTATCTTGTGCTGCTCTCCTCAGCCCAGGTGGCCTGGTTCCCCTAGGCCTACCCATAGAACTACCTGGCAAATGGAGAAAGAGCAAGAGAAGGTGTGGGAGTTTGGATGGGAGATGAGGATGAGATCCATTCTTTGGACTCCTAACAAAGCTGCCTGGGGGAAGAAACTGTATCTTCAAGGAGAAAGTAAATCTGTGGGGTTTGAAAGGAATGTGTTCCTGTCTTGTAGGTACAAAGAGGCACATGGGTGGGCAGTGGTGTAGGGGCCTGGAAATCTGAGATTTACGTCCCTCTCTGACCATCTAACACCACCCCCAAAGCAACTTAACTTGAAAAAGAGCTCAGGAGCCTGTTCTTGCTTCACCAGGGGTTGTTTGGAAGTTAAGGGATTATGGGGAATGACAGGAATATTGGAAAACAGGAAGAATTTTTCAGGGAGGGAGGATTTCCCTCCCCTCCCCTCCCCTCTCCTCTCCTCTCCTTTCCTGTCTTCTCCTTCCCCTCCTCACTCCTCTCTCTGTTAAGTTTTATCTTCTCCCAAGACTGCTAGCTATTCCTAATCCCTCTTTCAATATTTCTTAGCCCTATCTTTTGGAATCTTTCTATTTCTGGATCTAAAAACTGTTTTGGATCTTCACACTTTTAATTTGGGGGTGTAGCATTGGATTTGTTTTCAGGGACCATCCACAAGCACACAGGTGACCAATTCATCCCAGGTGGTCCAGAACTTTCTCAGGTTAGCACTGTAAATCCCTTATCCCAGTCCTGTTATCCCCCTAACAAACTGAAATGGTTGGTCACATGAGTGGTTACTCTGGCCATTAAGCCAGGCCCTGCTTTAGTAAATCTTCACATCTTCCAGGCAGATGTCAAGAGAGCAAAAGAAATCCAGTCCCCAGGGTCATGCCAGGGTCACCAAAACTAAGGTTGGAATGAACTAGGGTGACAGGGATTGTGCTCAGAGTGCCTAGTCCTTGGTGGGAGAAGAAAGACCTTCAAGGAAGATGGGGGTGGGGAGTAGCTTGAGAAGGGAGGCAAAGACAGCCCAGTTTCTGTCTGAAGGGCTTCTTGTTGACCCTGGAGCTCTGAGCCAAGAGCTTCTTTTTCCAAACACAGGCTTCTTCCGGTCCTGGTGTTCTAGGGCAGAAAGAGGTTCCCTAACTTCCTGTTACATGTTCCCCATCTCTCTCACCCACCTTGGTCAGAGAGCCCTTCCTCAACTCTGCTTTCAGTTTTTTTTTAAATTGTTTTAGTTGTAAATGAACACAATACCTTTATTTCATTTATTTATGCGATTCTGAGGATTGAACCCAGTGCCTCACACATGGTAGGCAAGCGCTCTACCACTCAGCCCCAGCCCCAGCCCTGCCTTCAGTTCTTGCTGTGGTTTCAGCCCATTTCTTTTCATCATATCCTTTGCCTGACAGTTATTGGGTCGACTCTGCTCTGGCTTTTCTCAAAGCAGAGCAAGTAGGAGCACTGTGAGGTATCAGGGACCTTGCAACTTTCTTGAGAAGTGACAGGGTTGAAACAGAAGCAGAAAGGTATTCTTAATTTTAATGTTCTACAGGAGATTTCAAGGAGAAAAGGCATCCTTCCATTCAGGAAAAAGAAGGGGCTCCTTCTCTTTTCATATTCCTGGATTTCTCTCTTGGTAGGGCTGGTGTGAGGCATTTCTTGTCACTGTGCCCTTGCTTCTGCTTCTCATGTTCAGTCCAGGGCTTCAGCCTCTACTTTTTACAAGTGGAACTGGACCACCTAAGTCTGTTGGAATACAGGAAAGAAGTGATGTTGGTCTCCTTGCCCAGCCCCTTATTCTTAAAAATCTAAACTTGGCAGGGTAGCCACATGGGCAAGCACAAGGCAAGTGGTTGGGGGAAGGGGAAGAAATTTGCATTCTGTATGGTACCAAGACCACTTAGACTGGTTTCTACAACAGAAAATGGAGAACTGGTTAACATAGAATGGAACCAATTCCCCTTAAATGAAGGGAGGGATGGCAGGCGCTGGGAGAGGGCTCTTTTCCCACAAGCAGGATCATGGCTCCAACTGAAGCCAAGAACAGGATGCTGCCCTCTTTGGTTTACCAACATGCTCTCTTTAAATCACAATGTTACCTAACTCACATCCAGACCCAAAATCTCTTACATTTTCAACCTATACATCCCATTTATCTAAAGATCTACATTGTACCTATGAAATACATGCAAAATTTAAGGAAAAAAATTGGATATTGGCATTTTAGCCTTTCAGTCTGAGCCTGTTTCCCCTCTCCTGCCTTCTTCCCTCCTCCTATAATTCATAACTTTGCTCAATTTTCCAGTCTAGACCTGCATCTTTAGACCACACCCCAGCCAACTCATACTGGCACCCCTAATTCCTCTTCTAATGCCCTTTCCTGGGTTCTTTTTCATTGCATCCCACCCCTCAGGAGTCCTCCTTCTAGCTGGGCTGCCCTGGAGCACAAAGACTATCCCCCTTCCTCCCAGTTAAGGGAGGGGGTGGGGGTTTCAGCCCCACCCTCAGGAAGATGTGTCTTCCCCCTCCTTTGTTCTGTGGTACTTCCTCTCTGGTTGACTTAGCTGAAAGCACTCATACCAAGGCCCACGCCTCCGACACTGGGACAGATCCAGATTAAGCTATACCACCTTGCCCTGGCTCTGGGATTGGCATCAGCTTTCAGCTGTTTGGCAAAGCTTATAAGTAAGTATCCTAGAAACTGGGAAGGTGGTGTGGGGGACCAGGTACAGCCATGAGAGAACGTGCAAAGGAATCTCTAAAGAAAGCCCAACCAGTGTAAACGGAGTTGGGAGGATTTGACCTCAAAGCCTACCCACTAACTCCATCCCCATCCCTGTTATTTCTGGTGAACCCCTGGAAGTCTCTGGGGTCAGAGTGGGAAGGTGATTGGAAGAAGTCAAAGGGACTGAAGGGCTAAGGTTCAGGCAGGGGACAAGGGTGCTTTCAAAAGGTACAGCACTGGTGAGGAAAATCTCCCAGTTTGATTCTGGGCTTCAGGAAAGGAGTCTGAAAAGATATGAAAATGTTGTTACTGGGGATGGCTGTTTATTTTGTAATTAGGTCTGTGAACAGGAAGGGGCCCCGTGGCCCAGTTAGGAAACTAGTTTTTCTACTCAACCGGATCCCCTTAAGTCAGGTCAGTTGGTGGTGATGGGGCAGTTTCAGTGCCTCTGATGATGCTGATCTTGGAGACAGATCAGCATTTTCAGGCTAAGTGTGTCAGGGAGTCAGGAAACCTTTGGCTTCCTACCCTTATGAGTGTCCACCCTCACTTCCAGGTCATTGTGATGGCCACGAACACTACATCTCCTGCTGCATCCTCCTCACGAAATGTCATGTTCATATCTCTGTTGGCTATCATCTTACTGTCAATTGCACTGGCTGTGGGGCTTCCTGGCAATAGCTTTGTGGTGTGGAGCATCTTGAAAAGGATACACAAACGCTCTGTCACTGCCTTGCTGGTGTTGAACCTGGCCTTGGCCGACTTGGCCGTATTGCTCACTGCTCCCTTTTTCCTGCACTTCCTGGTTCATGGCACCTGGAGTTTCAAATTGGCCGGCTGCCGCCTGTGCCACTATATCTGTGGAGTCAGCATGTATGCTAGTGTGTTGTTTATTACAGTCATGAGTCTGGACCGGTCACTGGCAGTGGCCCGTCCCTTTATGTCCCAGAAGCTGCGCACCAAAGAGATTGTCCGGCCGTTGTTGGCAGCTATCTGGGTGGTGTCCTTTTTGCTGGCCACGCCAGTTCTTGCATACCGCACGGTGAGTTTGGGATTGAACAACAGGAGCCTGGTGTGCTTCCCGAAGTACCCCAACGAAAGGCACAGGGCATTTCATCTACTCTTCGAGGCCTTCACCGGCTTCCTGCTGCCCTTCCTGGCCGTGGTGGCCAGCTACTCCGACATCGGGCGCAGGCTGCGGGCGCGGCGCTTCCGTCGCAGCCGCCGCACGGGCCGCTTGGTGGCACTCATCATCCTGGCCTTCGCCGCTTTCTGGCTGCCCTACCACTTGGTGAACCTGGCCGAGGCGTTCCGCGCATTAGCGGGTCTGCGCCCTGGGTCCGGTCCCGTCGGGGAGCGGCTGCAGCTGGCCCGCCACGTGCTCATCGCACTGGCCTTCCTGAGCAGCAGCGTGAACCCGGTGCTGTACGCGTGCGCAGGCGGCGGCCTGCTGCGCTCGGCCGGCTTGGGCTTCGTTGCCAAGTTGCTGGAGGGCACCGGCTCTGAGGTGTCCAGCACACGCCGCGGCGGCACCCTGGTCCAGACCGTAAAGGGAGCCATTCCCTCTCCGGAGCCTGCACCCGCCGAGAGCATCACGGCCTCCTCTGAGCCTCTCCAATGAAGCTAACTATATGAGATCTGGTGGAAGGAAGCTCGCTTTCCTCCTCGGAGAATCCCACGCTTGCCTGACCCAGTTCTGTACCCGGGGAGAAGAATCTGCGCGGGAGACCGGGTGGGGCGGAAAGAAGAGGGTGGGGTGGGGCAAGTCAGGGCAGAATGAGAGAGCATTCTCTGGCCAGATTCCTGCAGGAAGCTTTACAATTAAAACTCAAGTCTGAAATCGCGTCAACCCTGTGAGTGGGGGCACGTGTGTTATGGGGTGTAGGAGTGCTCACAGGCATCATGGTGAGATTCCTCTCAATTGTTGAGAGTCACATTCTTTAGTTCCCCGTGATTTCCAGTTTTGGAAAGAGAACAAAAGGAGATTCTGAGGTAGGTGATCTGCAGATCCCACTTTGAACAGCGTTCACAGACTACTGAAGGAGACTGTCAAAAAAGACCACCCATGTAGGCTTCTCATTGCAGGCTTATGACTCAGGGAACCTTCTGAGATAATGGGCTGCTGTGAAACATCTTCCCTGACACCCTGGTAAGTGTCCTTGTTAAGTGTCCAGCTTCCTGCTAGGAATCTTTATCCTCTCAGCAGATGGTCTAGGGCATTACCTTCCTTTCCTCCATTTCCCAAGGAGTTCTCATTTGAGATGAAAGTCATTACATCTTGTCCCCTAGAATTCTGCACATCAGCATCTACCAGCCCCACAATATACCCTGGTACAGAGTGAGCCTGAGGGCCCTCTGTGGCTATGGTCACCCACAGGAAACAAAGACTCCCCTAAGCTAGTACTTCATAGGGGTGACTGTTGTCTTGGAGCACCTTTGGCCCAGCTTTGTTCTGATGACATTTTAGGATGATGACAGCAGCAGCGGCAGTGCTGTGTTCTGTGGATCCTCCCCATAAAAAACAAGACAAAACAAGCAAACAAACAAACAAAGAACCAATGTGAGTCCGAGAGAGAGAGAGAGAGAGAGAGAGAGAGAGAGAGAGAGAGAATAGCAAAACCGAAAGTCCATGCGCAACATCTGTAACAAATGCAGAGTATTAAGATATCTCCTGTGGATTTCAAAATATGAGCAGGCGAGAATGAAGCATTGATCTAAATCACATGTTTTATATCAGCATTTGCATAGAAAGATGCAGAAGCAAGCAAGGCAGGCATCCAATGGCCCTGAGTACAGGAGAACCCCTAAATTGTCTATAGGTCTTTACAAGAAAGCATGGTGGGACAATTTGAAAATAGCAGCTGAGACTGGAAGGAACCTAATAGATTATTTTGTAGGCCTCTTGCCCATTCTGCATTTATGTTGAATGAATAAAAGTTCAATGTCATTTTCCTGGAAATTCTTTCCAGTGTTTGTGAGTAGGGGCAGGAAAGGACATATCTTTGTTTTGAATTATGTGCCTAAAATTCTTTAAGTTTCCAAGGTATACAAAATATTGGAATCAGGTTAGTATGTAGGCAGGCCGGCCAAGAGAGTCCTCTCCTGAGCTAGTGAAAACAATCACTCCCTTCCCACTTGCTTAGGTACATGTGCACACACGTACACGTACTCAGTTTAACCTAAAAAGAAACTGAGGGGTGATTCTCAGCTACATCCACAACTTCTGACATCAATTGGCATTAGACATCCTAGAGTCTTTTTTTTTAAATATCTTTTTTAGTTGTCAATGGACTTTTATTTTATTTTATTTTTTATGTGGTACTGAGAATTGTACCCAGTGCCTCACACATGCTAGACAAGTACTCTACCATTGAGCCACAACCCCAGCCCTCCAGAATCTTTTTATTGAGGATCTTAGAAGGGATGAGAGGTCTCAGCCCAGGTGGCTGAAGGGGGTCCAGATCGTGTCAAGTCTGTGTTTAGGAAGTAGGTGCAGAGCTGCCCTTTGCCTTTGACCTTGATAACACCCCTGCTGTAGCATGTATAGCCCAGGGATTGCAGAGCCCGGGCTGTCTCCTCAGTCACCTGCAATTGGAGGAGGGGGGTGTGAGGGAGTATGGGGCATGCCTATCCTTATCCTCCTCCCCACATGCCTCCAATGTGGTTTACTTACTTGGATTTTGCCAAGGACTCCTGTAGTCTCCATGCGGCTGGCCACATTCACTGTGTTGCCCCAGATGTCATATTGTGGCTTCTGAGCCCCAATCACTCCTGCTACTACTGGTCCATGGTTCAGTCCTGAGAAGGAAAATGGTAAAGAGGAACCCTGATGGGGGGAACTGTTTTTTTGGTACTGGGGATTGAACTTAGGGGCACTTGACCACTGGGCCACATCCCCAGCCCTTTTTTGTATTTTATTTAGAGACAGGGTCTCACTGAGTTGCTTAGTGCCTTGCCATTGCTGAGGCTGGCTTTGAACTTGCGATCCTCCTGCCTCAGCCTCCCGAGTCACTGGGATTACAGGCATGCACCACTGTGCCCAGCTTGATGGGGGGAACTTTGAAGAGGGAAAAGGGAAGAGGAAGCTAAAGGAACTGGGAAAGAGGAAGGACCTGGGGGGACTTAAAGGAGAGGAGGGGTCTCTGGGGCTGGAGGATTGGGTCTGAGGGAAAGGAGGGGAGCATGCCTTTTAGCTCCTGGCCCAGCAGCTTTATGCTTCATTCATAGGAGTGAGTCTGGCAAGGGGGTCCAGGGATGGGGTGCAGAGCAGTGAACAAAGCACTTGGAGTGGGGAGAGCTTGGGAAGGTGAGGAGATACCACACTGCCCCAACAAGGGGGGGGGCTCTCACCCACACGCAGGCGGAAGTTGTTGAATGAATGCTTGTTGATGACGTCCAGCTTGGACCCCAGGGCCACTGCAAATTCCACCATGGTGCCAAGGTGGCTGCAGCTTCGCTCAGCATCCTGGCAATGGGCCCGCCCACCAGGATGGGCCAATGAGGGCACAGGAATAAGTCCCACTCATGGGACCACCAGTGAGAGCCCAAAGGAAGGTTGATAGGTAAGGAAGGGTTGTTATACCTGTTGGGCCTCTTGTCCAGAGGTGGCATTTAAGCCTGTGGCTGCCATGTAGGTGCTGCCAATGGTTTTGATCTTCTCCACCCCACTGAACTTGGGCTTGGAGAGCAGCTGTACAGAGAGGAGGCCTTGTCTCTAGTCTCTCTTGCTTTCACCCTCCCCTCTCCCAGAAGCTCAGCCTCAGGCCTTTGGAGGCTAAAGACCAGGTTGTAGAGTAGGGGATGGTGGTAGGAAGAAGAGAGTTGATAGTCAGCAATTTGCTGGAGGGAGTAGATATGTGGCATCAGAGGAAGAGAGGGGGTGCTGTGAGTGGTGGATAGAATTGGCCTCATGGCCAGAAAGTAAAGTAGAAGGAGGTACTAGTGGAAATTCCAGAATCCAGGACACAGGACCTGGGGGGCCTTTGGAGTTGTCACCTCATCAAAATCAGCAATTATTTCATTGAGTAGCCGCAGACACTCTAGCCCCTCGTGGTTGATGTTGGATTCCGAGTAAAACTCCTTGAAGTCCGGGACTGAGGCGAATAGCACACAAACACACTCATAGGACTGGTGGTAGAGGTCCTGGAGGGGGCAGGAGGCTGAGGTGAGGGAGGGGTGTATGTCATGTGCTTTCCCTTTCTGGGTCTGTACGGGGTCCTCCTTACTGAAGCCACACTCCTTGTCCCTCTATTTAAGAAGCGCTGAGAAGGAGGGAAAGGAGTAGGGCCAGGTTACCCTAGGGATATGACTCAGGAATCAAAGATTTGGTGTTGTTGTGATTCCAGGAAAGACAAGAGATTTGGGGTCAGGATAACTTCATAGCTATATATATGAAGGGACTCACTCTTAGACTCGGGATCATGTCAGTGGGAATTATTGCTAAATTATTGCTAAAAGATGTTAAGTCAGATAAATCAGCTTATAAAAAATAGCCAAGGTTTGGAACACAAAATAAAGCATCAATAGTGAGTATGAGATAAAGGGAAAATTAGAGTAAAATGATAAAGATGGAACCAGGTCTGAGATTAGTTCACAAAATGGGTGCCATGAAGTCCTTGTTAATCCTAGATTCCAGTTCTGAGTTTTCTAACAGCCAATGTGAAGAAAGAAACAGAACCTGTTACAAAATTTCCTGTGTCCACAATAGAAGAAACCAGAAGTAGAACTACTTCTGATTTTGAGATCAGAGAGTAGGTGGTAGGGACATAAGTCTGTGAAATAGCTCTTGAAGTGTTTCTTTTAACTTCCTCCAGTATACAACAAGAACATTTCCACAGTAAAGAGGGTCAGGTGATAGTGGCACAAAAAAGATAGTGCAAAATTCAATAACTTTCCAATGGTCTGATGGTAGCAAGATTTCTGAGTATCTAGAGCAGCAGCATCCAATAGGAATTTCTGCCATCATGTGCTGTCCAATATGATAGGCACTAATTGTATGTGGCTATAGAGTACCTGACATGTAGCTAATGTAACTGAGGAACTGAATTTTTAATTTTAATTAATTTAAATTTAAATTAGAAGGGCCATATACAGCTAATGGCTACCATATTAGAAACTAAGTCTAGAGAGATGGATGCATTACATCCTCCATACAACTACCATCAACACGTGACTAAACTTAAGAAACGTATGGAGTGGTAATGAGTTGGAAAAGACACGCTCCCAAGTAAGAACTTGAAATGCAGAAATTCTGTCCTCACCAAAGACAGAGTTCAAAATCTTGTGAAAAATGGAGGCACCTGCCTGACAGGGACAGGGCTTGATGAATGACTGACCCACTGTGGGGGAGTCCAGAGAGGATGGGACAAGGGCCCAGGCTTTCATCCAAACATACTCCCTATGGCATCTGGGGCTTAGGAGCCAGAGATAAGGAATTACCTCATTGCGCCTGTTCTGACCAATGAACTGGGGGGCCACATGTGCAGGGAGCACATTCTCCAAGAGCAGCCGGGTCAGGTTCTCCATTGTCTCTGTCTCTTCCTGCTCCTTTCTCAGCTTTTTCTTCCACAGGAAGTCCAGGCGGCAGTAATACTCATTCTAGGGAGGGTCAGCAGGGGACCATGAAGAGCCACAGTGCAGGGGAAGCCTCAGGTCCTGAGTGTTCATATCCCCACTCCACAATGCCTAGAAACATCCCTACCCCCAGCTTAGAGATAAGGCTAAAGGGGCAACTCTCCTTGGAGAGAGTATTCTGGAAACTAGATTCAAACTAGGGTATGGCAACAGATTTTTTTCTTAAGCATGGCCTTTCCCAGATTTGGGGATTGGGGAAAGAGGGACCAGAGAACTTGAGGGCACTCCTCTTGGGAAGTGAAAAAGCAAGAAAGGGAACAGGAAGGTTCACTTAGAAGCTTCCAAAGAGCACACCCCTTGGGCTTAACCCTGGAGATGAAAGAGAACAAGTCGCCAATATGGGGACTCCAGATTCACCATTCACAGATTCTAGGGGGCTGAGCTGAGGACTTACCTGCCGAGCCAGGACAAGGAGGGTGAAGAAGAAGATGAAGAAGGAAATAGCTCCCATCAGTTTGGGTTCCTTCAGCACTCCAGGCCTGAGGAGGCCACAGATCAGGGCTGTCCCTTGCTTTGCCCCTTCCTGATGGCCACCTCCCTGTCCCTTCTTCCCTTGTCCATGTAACCCCTCAGCCCCCCTCCTCCTTGGCCCTGTGAGTGGTTCAGGTTAGTGAGGCCAGGACAGCTCTGCTGTGTCCTCTCTGACCCCCTTCCCTGAGGTCCTGAAAACCTCTGTCCAGTGGCCATGCATACCTGGAGTCCATGGGGCCTAGATAAAGACGAGCGATGAGGCAGTCAGACAGCCAGGCGTGGGAGTGCAGGAAGAGGGAGCAGGAGGCTGCCAGCCACAGAAGGAGCAGCAGCAGCTTCAGTTCAAAGCTCATGTGCAGAAAGAGGGAGCAGGAGAGGAAACCCAGCACACAACAGTGCATGGAGTACTGTGGGGCCAGGCAAGGTGATCAGGAGGGGGCGTGTCCCATAGGACACCCAAGGGTTCCTGTCCTATTCTTTCTAGGGCCCAGGTTCTATCAGGGGGACAGGAAAGTCATCCACACAGACACAGTTCCAATCCATATTAAGGAGTGTGCCTCAACTCTAGAGGTGGGGTTACTGAGGAAGGCTCTGGGGAGGGAGATGTAGGGCTGTGCAGAATACTCACTGGGACACTGATGAGAGGCAGGGAACCGGGCAGTTCCCAGGAGAGGTTGAAAGCCATGGAGGATACATTGAGGCCCCGAAAAGGGCAGTCTGATGATGCTGGTAAGAAGAACTGCAGAAGGAGATGAGAAGATGAGGCGGCAGGCAGCTCCTTGGGCACAATGGTGGCTTTAGCTGAGTTTTGGCCAACCTAGGGATGAGTTAGGGCCAGACTCCCACAAAAGGCAG